TCTACCGAGCTTCATCTCATACTTGTTCATGCCTATATGGTTCAACAAAGTCAGAACCGTGTAACAGCACCATCAACAGTAGTGCTGCAAGTTCAAGAAGCTTTATGCATTTACACTATTGTTCCCACAATATTTTCCAAAGACACACTTAGGCTTTAGCTGGCAGTTGGCACTAGCAACTAACAGAACAATAAGATGAATGTGGAAGAACACAATAGGCGTTCATGTGGTCAGCTCACTAAGACAAACAGAGCTTGGATATTACCAGGCACAATCACATATGTGCATGGTCCTCAGTGTCATAACTCACAAATATATTAATATGACAAGTGCTTTTCATAACATAGCCTTAACACATGAATGCCACTTTTTCGAGATGCTACCTAGAGAAATTTCCATCTATGGCAGTATCAGGTTCGGTTATACTGCAAGTCTGTAAATCACCACTTAACCTCCATGAGAGTGGTTTTAGAGAGTGCTATACTGCTTTAACAATGTACAGACAATAATCTCATTAACACTAACTCTAGCAGTTGTATGGTTATTTATAAATGCAAGATATAAGAAAAGAGCCCACTATATATTTTGTTCTCTTTAGTTGTGAAAGATTGAAGAGAAGGTACCCCATTATTTGCTAAAGCCATCTGCCCTAGAGTACAACTCAACCTCTAAAAAGCTTGGTTCGACAGATAGTAGATATACATACAAAACCACCTTCACTTGCAATTGGGCACAATGCTATCAAGCAACACAATCATGGTAGCAGTTCTTCAACAGTATTCAAAGGCTACCGCAGCAGAGCATAGGTTAAGTGCGCGGGGCTAGGATGAATTTATCATCACCTGAAAAGGCTGAAAGCCTGAAAGGCCCTCTCAGCCGCGGGCCTTAAGCTCGGCGAGGCGGCGAGAGAGGTCATCCTCGTCGACCTTCTCCTTATCCTTGGCGGCAGGGATGGCGTGGGCGGCGGCCTGTGGCAGACCGACGGAGACCTCGAGCCCGTAGTCGTCGGCGACCTGCTGCATGAGGCTGTTGACCTCGGTCTCGGGCGTGGAGAGGGAGGTGGAGCCGGCCATGGCGCCCTCCATGAACTCGGCCTGGACCTCCATGTTGACGAACTGGCGCTCGAAGTTGTCCATGGTCTCGGACATCTTCTGGAGGTTCCCGGTGCCGAGCGCGGAGTCGAGCGACTTGACTATGGACTGCATGGACTTGCCGATGACCTGCATCTTGGCCTGCGTGTCGAGGCGGGCGACGACGGCGTCGAGGCGGGAGGCGAGGCGGAGGTAGTTCATGTGCTCGGTGCGCTTGCGGATGGCGTTCTCGGCGTAGATGCGGGCGCCGTCCATGTTCCCCTTCTCGATCGCCTTCTTGACCTTGAGCTTCTGCTCCTTCTCCTCCTTCTCGCACTTGCGCGCCTGCCGCTGCAGCGACTTGGAGGTGAACTTGAGGTCGAAGATCTGGTTCATCAGTTTCTCTGGGTTCCCCATGGTCGCCGGCGAGCGGGGGTCGCTGGGGCTGGGATGGATCTGGGATTCGGCTAGGGTTTGTGTGAGATTAGGAGGAGATCGAGGAGGGGGATTTGTGAAGGCTCGTGGAGGCGAGGGGAACGAATGGGGATTTTTTGACGACGAGCGATCGGGTTGGGGGGTCGATTCGATTTTGATCTGGGCGAAGACGACCACGCGGTTTAGGGGCAACACGCCAACACGGTTAAGCAACGATGCCGTTTGGGGAGGACGCCCGTGCGGTGGCTGCGTGTGACGGGCTGGCGGCCCTGGCCGTAGTCCGTAGACTGGCCGTAGTCCGTAGATGGTGTGCTACGGCGCGTGGTATAAGCAGAATCACTTCATATGACTGTTTGGTCAGCTCGTTAGATTTGTAACTGAATTTAAATTAGAAGAAATCAGGCATTAGGTATTTTCTGTAACGATAATGATATGATTAAGATGTCCGGACGGATGGATGCTTCCCACCGCTCACTACCGTAGCGCTCGTGTCCCTCCTATTCTTCTCCCTTCGCGTCCTGGCCCACACCCGTCGACGCGGCCATAGATGCTTCCGTGGCCGGCGGTGGCTCCTTCCACCACCCCCGCGGCATCCTCCTCTCCCACCCCTGCGTCTTTATCCACCAGGAGCGTCTAACGCCTGTGGATTCGGTGGCCCTTTCCCCCACCCCGGTGAGATCAAGCAAGCCGCTGACCCTCCCCTACCTCGGTCGGCGGTGCTCTCCCTAGGTCCGGCAACCTCTCCTCTCCCTCGGCCGACGGCGAGCATGGGGGGCGTGCAGACGTACACCATCCAGCGAGTCTGCGCCACCGCAGTTGCCTACCAGGTACGTCATGCCCATGCGGCGATGTTGTGTTTCAAGTGTTTCTGGACGTTTTTTAGATATGTTGCAAGCCCATGTTTCAAGGGTTTCAGTTGTTTCAGATGTATGTTTCATTGTTTCGTGCGGATGTTGTAAAAGTAGATCGGGATGTTGCATATGTTGCGATGGTTCATAGTTGTACACGTATGTTGCAAGCGTCTATCCACAATGTTTCATCTATTTTTCTGTACACGTATGCTGCAAGTGTTTCAGACGCATGTCTTAAGTGTTTTATCTGTCTTCTTTTGTATATTGCAAGTGTTGCATCTGGATATTTCAAAAGTAGATCGGGGATATTGCCCATGTTGCAATGGTGTTTCAACTGTATGTTTCAAATATTTTATCTATTTTAGACGTATATTGTAAATATTTTATCTGGATATTGTAAAAGTAGATCGGGGTGTTGCATGGCGCAGCCTGACCGATGGCCGTCATTGTCTGGTAGGCGCGAGGTGGGCGCGGGGGGTAGTCTTTGGGGTGGGGGGTGGGGACGCGGGACGCAGGGCGTGAGGCGAGATACGGACGCAGGAGCGGCACAGGTGTCGGAGCCGCGTCCGGACACGACGTCCCGTCTAGACGTCCAGACGGTAGGTGTACCATTTCTGTAAACCAGTAAGAAACAAAAATCAATTTTAAATATTTTTAAATAAATGTTTTCTCTTTGTGATGTTTGACAATGATTCTAGTAATTCTATTAAAAATCCGACTTTCTTTTTTTACTTTCTCTTTTCTTCACATATCAGTTGAACCCATGCAAGTCATGATTCGTAAAAGTTTCATCTCGTCTGAGGGTGTCCCCAATAATAAGATAAAATCGACTGCCGATTTTAAAGATGTGAGTAAATAAAGAGATAAAATGAGCACCTGCATATTAAAAGGAGAAATGAGCCCGACAATTAGAGTGTGAGCTTACTACTTACACACTCAAACGATTTTATTTTCCACCTTCTCTCTCGTCCACGTGAAATAAAATATAATACCTACAAGCGATTTGGATGGGCATTGTGGATGGTCTAAAAGTTTGTCCATCATAGCTCTAGCCTCTAGCCATTGTGTTTGTGGACAGACTTAGTGAGTTGTTAGAGTATGACATGGCATATCCTGAGAAAGTCTAGTGGTTCATCTACCACTTAGTAAAAAAACATCTATTGCACTCTTAGTCGCTCGTCTGCTTATAGAGCACCGTGTCAATCCACTATCCACGACACTGCAACCGAAAGCCGAGCAGGCGACCTAAGGCTTTCACCCATCGCCAAACCAATGTACATTGCTTAATCCCACAACTAAGGGTTCTCAATCCGTCCTTTTCTAATCCCCCACGTGCCTCATCTCCAACTCTAATCCCTATTTGTTCTTCCTACTAAATTCATTTTTTATGTTCTAAAATAATCCTGAAATTACATACTTATTCAACAAGGCAAATAGATCCTAAACCAAACTTGTATGTTAATGTTAGAATGTGAATAAAAATAACTACAACTAGAATGGAAAACAGTAGTAATGAAAAGATTGATGTTAGCATACAATCATCAATTCTACAATTCATTTTTAGAGATTTATTCGAATTTTTTTAGAAATCTTCTTATAGATAACTTTATTAAATGAAATTTGTCATTGTACAGGCGTTTGTTTCTTTTATTTATTTTCTAGGCGACGAACAACAATCATTAATCCTAATCCAACCGTTTCTCCGCCTACTGTCTGTCGTTTCTCATCCACGGCGACGTCCTTGCCACGGTGCCTGCCTCCACTACTCCTGCTGCGTTGACCCGGTGTTGCTGGGCCATTTTCCACGACTCTTTGGCCCCTCTCTAGCCCAACCATTGTTCTCCACCGCTCGTGGTCGACAGCAGCCCCGCCAAGTCGCAACTTCGCGCCCCGCGCTTGCCTCGTCTGTCTAACTAGCCTACTTTCCCAAGCTCCTTCCTAGGCCCGCCGAGCACTAGCCCTCTTGAATATGAAAGCTTTGTTAGCGAGGAGAATGGCGTCTAAAATTGTTTTTTCATGCCCCTTTAGTATAGGAGATGTGCTGTTAAATTCTTACTTCTCTTATTTGTATAGACTGCCTACATAAAGTATCTCAAATTTAATTTTAAAATCAGTTCTGTATTTGATAACTCTTTCTTATCTTTCGACTGTTTAGCGGTTAAATATATGGGGAAAGCATTAATGACTAATATTCGCAAAAAACACAAATGGTTCTTCTATTATAAGAAAACCTCAATCACATTTTAAGTTTTTATTTTGAGAGACAATAGGTTAGCACTACAGTCGTGTCACCCGAGCACATACCGCAGAGTCGCACCCGAACTGAGGTCGGACACGCGGCTCCGGAGCGGCATCGCTGGACCTTCTTGCTCACCAAGAAGCCCAACCCGGCCTCCATCAAAAGCCCACCAGGCCACCGCCGTCGCTAGTCGCTACTTCCCCTCCGATCCTCGACGCCGACGCATCCACCCGAACCCTCCTCCTCCGCAGCTCTGGTCATGTCGGTGAGTCCCCCGCGCCCCCCTCGCCCCCCGTGCCTTCCTCGCCTCGCCCCGCCCCGCCCCGCCCCGGATATCGAATTCCTTACGGGTTCGCCCCCTGCCCATCGCAGATCTTCGAGTACAACGGGTCCGCCGTGGTGGCGATGGTGGGGAAGAACTGCTTCGCGATCGCCAGCGACCGGAGGCTGGGCGTGCAGCTTCAGACCATTGCGACCGACTTCCAGCGGGTGTTCAAGATCCACGACAAGCTCTACATCGGCCTCTCGGGGCTCGCCACCGACGCCCAGACGCTGTGAGTCACAGTCGCTCAATTCTCCCCGCCCGCCCCCACGGGTTGTTGTCTTCGGGTCGGTTCGGCGGCTTAGGGTTTTTGGGTCCCTCTGCAGGTACCAGCGGTTGGTGTTCAGGCACAAGCTGTATCAGCTGCGGGAGGAGAGGGACATGAAGCCTGAGACCTTCGCCAGCCTTGTCTCTGCGCTCCTCTACGAGAAGAGGTGGGGATTTTGCTAGCGCACTTTTGGTGGAGTTGTGTAGGATACTGGATAGACGTACTGGGGTAGTTGTTATTTTAAATTTTTAATGCCCTGCCAGACCGTGAACTCTGCAAAGAGATGCAAAACTTATTGGTTATGTTGGTTGTTAGTATAGGCTCATGCTGCTGGAGGATTTGGTCATAGGAAGCTAGTGCTATCAATACCTTGTACTGTGATAATATTTGGTGATGCAGAACTTTGGAGCTAAATCTTTATATAATTCTTTGCCTTTTGGACGGACCATTCCTCTAACGGAGTGCTTCAGATGCACCTTATATACTACATTTACTACTTATGCAATAAACTGTTTAGCTATGAGATATCATCTATTTTCTATTAGCCATGATGTATCCAGAATTAGCTGAACATAAACCAACCTCATAGGCTATTTAAAAAAAGGGAGTCTTGTTACAATTAGAGTATCATGTTGCAAAATTTTCTTTTCTTCAAGGAGCAAGAGGAAACTAAATCATTATCTGGGGAACTGTGGTAATTATGCTCATGTGCACAAATATTCTGTTTGACAAGGACTGGTTTTCAAGTGTTTCAATTCGTAGTTGCTCCAAATTAGCTTTTATGTTCCAATACTGTAATGGCAATGCTTGTCTAACTTTTATCATGCCACATGAAACTTTCAGATTTGGGCCATATTTCTGCCAGCCAGTCATTGCTGGACTTGGAGATGACGACGTACCATTTATTTGTACCATGGACTGCATTGGTGCAAAGTAGGTATCTGTTTATGCTGTTTTCTTCTTGAATAAGTGCTTTGGTTTGTTTTCTGCTTGGGATTATTGTGTTTTAGGGTCTTAGTGAAGTTGGTCTTTTTGGCTAACAAGTCTCATGCCGCTAGTTCATCAATGTTGTCCTGGAAATGGCACTGGTCTCTGGTTTGTAAATTTTGTCCTTAATATGCTGCTTATTTGCAATATTGTCCTGAAAGTGGGCAGTGATACTGTGCTAGAAATTTTAACCGGTGGCATAAGACCATTTTTTTGAAATAGTAGTTGAACAAGGAAAGTGCAATTTTCTCAATGGCTTGGAATGAAAATTCCCCTCAGCTTATCATCTGCTTCCATTTTACTGTATTGAGCAATATGCCTATTTTTAGGTTTTGTTCACCTAGGGACATATTTCAAAAAAAGAAAAGCTACAAGGAAAGTAAATGCAACATGTTATTTAACAAAAAACATGAAATAAAAATAAAGCCGCACTAAGATCAATTTTCTGAATGCTCATTATTGTTCATTTAGTTGTCCCTCCTGATGCAAATAAACACAACACACACTGACACATAACCTGTTCTTCATCAACAATGCATGATGTTGGTCACAAAATTTTTGGACAAAAGAAATTATTGATAATCTGAGTATTGGCAACTTGCTACTTATACCATATACAATTATATACAATATAGTTCCTCTGGTTCCGAATGGAACTTTAGGACATCAACGAACTATCGCAGTATTGCCTCAGTCCGATTTTGGCCATGAAACTCCAAAACCGGATATCTTTGGCCATTGGAGTATCAAAGCCAGCGACTTTGGCCCTGATTGGTTTCAAAATTCAAAGGAAGTTTTAGCCTATATATATGTTTTTTTTTCTAAAAATAATATAATATTGTTAAATCTCTAAAAATCATAATTAATTCATTTTAATTAAATCCACAAAAAATAGAAACCAGTACCATTTTTTTTCTAAAATATAATTTGTCTACTGGTGTTTGTTCTATTTATAGTTCCTTGGATCTTACTTGTTCGTGTTCCTAGTGCTTAATTGCTCATAGTCGTGACCTTTATTTATTTAAATGATCATTTGTGGTTTACTATGCAGGGAACTGGCCAAGGATTTTGTTGTTTCTGGGACAGCATCAGAATCTTTGTATGGTGCTTGTGAATCCATGTACAAGCCAAATATGGTATGCTTCGATGCACGTTGTCAACCTATTTCCTTGACATCCACTTTTGTTTTGGGTCCGCATCTACCATGTTTTATAAAGTTCTACTTTTGGATGTACATTACTGTAGTTTGTTCTGTTAGTGAAATGACATCATTTTGTTATTTTTCATGACATAGGAACCTGATGAACTCTTCGAGACTATATCCCAAGCTCTAAGTTCATCAGTAGACCGTGACTGCCTTAGCGGGTGGGGTGGCTATGTTCTGATTGTGTAAGTTCACTCGCAGTCATCCGTTGTCACATTCAAGCTATTATGACACTTCATTTACTTGAGCATCAATCTTCCCATGACATGCTTTTGTTGGATTCAGGACACCGACTGAAGTCAGGGAGCATGTGATTAAGACCAGGATGGACTAAATCATGGCCACTGGAGTTCTTAGCTTGTTTCCAATGCTTAGACCAATGTTGTGTTTGGATTCTAAAGTAACATTGTATCATCACAGTTGGTATGAGAAGGAACGTTTGTTTTCTTTACCCCCTGTTTCATATGACTTCTGTCTGGGTTTCAGCTGAATGGTGGAATACTTGAGTTGATAATATCCTAGATTGAGGAATATTCTCGTGCAGAAGCGTGAATGGGGTTAACATGTGCTGTATCGCATTCTATGGTTGCGTATCGAAGACACATAGATCCTCATATGCTAATACTCTGAATAAACGCTACTGGTTACTTTAACTAAAACGAAGAGGTTCACACGAAATGTGTATGGGTTGTCTGTTAACATTAGTAATGTGATGATCATTATTTGGTAGATGTAGAATAAAAAAAAAGTTTTTGAGTTGTGTGGCAACATCAACTCGCATGATGATGCATAAGTTGCCTTAGTTTTGAATCTTACCACCTCTCTCTCTCTCTTAACCATGTAAAGATCCTACGTGGCAACCTATCGTACCATTGACGTGTGCGGCAACATGCTTTCCCTTACTAGGTGATATAAGTGACAACTATGTATGCATCATTGAATTAATGAGAAACTTCATTACTAAAGTATTTCGCATGTTAGATCGTCTCTTCTGGAAGTAAGACAATGCACCCGATAGTTTGTACTTCTCCGTTTTGTGTTCTAAAATATGTGGGTTGTTTTAGTTTCTCTCTAGTTAATTGCTCTAATTGTTTATTAAATTCAAAAACGTCCATGAACATTAACATTGTAAAATTAGTCTAATTAAATCTACGATAAGTTGTCCTGATAACGCATTTATTTAGTATGTGAGGTTGTTTGTAGAGTTTTTCTAGAAACTTGTTTAAATTCAAAAAGTTTGACAGAGAATAAAAAACGTATTACATTTTGATACTGATGGAGTGTTTTCTACTACCTATGTCCCGAAAAGCATGTAATTATAGGATTGGAGGGGTGTCCGGAAAAGGATACAATTTTAAGCCATAGGAGCTAATAATAGTGGGACCCATTGACAAAACAAAAGTCTGCTCCTGATGAATCCACCTTTTCTCTTTCTACTACTAATGCTTATGGGCTCGTTCGCTGGTCTGATAGAGACCAGCCAGCCGGCTGGTTCTCCTCACGTGTTACTGTTTATCAAACCAGCTGAACATTATTTTTCTCTCACAACAAACCAGCTGGAACAGTGTTTTTCAGCCAAGTTTCAGACCAGCGAACGGGGTCTATGTGGAGTTCATAGGTAGAGAGAAAGCTAGAGCATACTTGCAATGCATATATTATAAAGTCAAACATCGGATAAAAAGAGTTGAGTTATACAATCAAATCAAGATGTGCATGTGGGTGGATATATGGTGGATATAAATGGTGGCTAACCTAATTCTACTTTGCTCCTTGAAAACATATCTCTCTTTTGAAACTCGAAAATATTTGCTAGAGAGCAGGAGCTATTTTATTCATCTTTTTTTTCAGACGGACATCTAAGTACCCATTGTTTTAGATATCTCGGACACTTGTCCATTTTTTTAACTTCTTTTTTTCTCTTTTTTTATGAATAGCTTTTACATAGCCTCATGTCTCTTTTCTGCAACAAAACTTTGAAAGATAGCAACAAGAACTTTGTAGCATTTATTTGGTGGATAAACCTATCAAGCATGCTTTTGTATTCACCCCCAGTATAGGAGTAGAATATTTTTTGGTGGATCTAGATAGAAGGCATGTTTTGCGTACTCCTAGTGTAGGAGCAGCAGGTATATGTGGTGTGTATATAATCTTGATTTTAAGAGCATAACAAACCTCTCATAAGGGTCAACAAAGCTTGACAAAACTAAATGCAAAAGCAAGCAGCATATATGTAGAAGTTTTCCTATCCTAAATAACATGTATGGCTCTGGTGGGAATTTAAGCTTTGTCATACAGGAACTCGTCATATAGCATTTTTGTGTTTTTCAACAGATAAATCTCTGAAACTTTAGTGTCACTTGGAACAAGATAAATAGAAGCTCAGACCATCTCATATCATATCCGTCAATTATCTAGACTTAGATCAAGCATATGCTACCCACGAGTTTCAAATTCAGAGTAAATCTTTATATCAAAATAATCTTATCCAAAACTCGAGAATTTATGGCTGAAAGCTAGGTACTTGAAAGAAATTACAACATGGCAACTATTCATCATTTTTATTTTAAGAGATTATTCTGAATTCTCTTATTTTATTCAACTCTTAAAAATAAATTAAAGCAAACTACACACACCTTTTTATTTTTTTTAATTTTACTAGATCACACATTATTACTATAGATGACTAATGTAAAGATAAATTTTTTATTCACTATTTTTAACTATTAAAAAACTAAAATTAAAACAAAAAGGGAAAATAATACTTACCTGGATACATGAGAGTGCTTCTCCCCCAAACTAACTCTTTTAGTGAGGGTTTGGTATTGTAAGTCCTTCGAACCGGATTTCTCCCTGTGAAGTTCATTGACCAAATACCATGGTTTCTTCTAAAGATGAAAATTCTTGAGGTGGTGCCTCTAATGATGATGTCACCTTCTTTCGCCAAATCTGTCTTGGTTTTGTGTTTTGATTTTGGTTTGACAGGCTCAGAGCTTTCACTTGTGAAAATTGGGGAATTAACTAACTCCCCCACACTTTGCTTGAAGTGTGTCCTGCTTATAAGACAAGGTAGAGATCAAATTCATGGGCTCTATTGGTGGGAAAACACCAACAGAACTAAAAACTTTATTTATTCTTTTCTAACCTTAGCCATATAGGACAAGATGAAGTTGATATTATGCGCTTTGTTTAATTGTAACATGGGTGGTAAGATCAGAAGATTGAGCATGAATATAGCATTTAAGTATATTTGGCCAAAAGGGTTAAATTGCTTAACCTACTGAAGGATTGTCTTTTTCTACATAATGTATCAATCATTACATGATTATGACTATCATCTTTCAGAGATAAGATGTGCACTTTTTAGCTCATTTGGTTAAGACTATGAGATCAAGAAAGTGGTGCTAGGAACAAGCTTAACATGTTGAGTTAATCAGGTTGAATCAAGTAATGGAGTTGTAACCCAAACATGTTTGGTTCTTATTTATGTGCCTACCAGAATCAAGAAAAATCTTTTTAAATAATGACTATTTACCTTAGGATGTTACCTTTGTCATTAGAGCGTGAAGACACCATATGACGAAGGGTAGATGACTCGTGATGGTTCTTCTTTTTTGCTTGAAGTTTTTCTTGCTCGGCAAGTCTCGCATCTTGAACTATTCATGAGCTTCTTGTTTTCTATATCGCACCTTTTCTTTCTCATCCTTTTGTTATGTCATCTTTTTGCTTCTTTGATCTTGCCACTTCATTGGTCCTTCCGCCTCACCCTTTGTTTTATGCACTCGTCTTCCTCTTTCTTCCGTAGCTGTAGTGGTGGCTAAGTTTGTAGATTCATGCCAAACCATGAATAGGTATAGCTCATATTCATTCATCTAGTTCTTCCATCCATCATGAATGAGCCGTGTCTTCTTTGCACAATGTTATTAGAGTTCATCATGTGCCTGGCTTCATCTCCGATTTAAATTCATCTCGTGACTTACCAATATTGATGTGAGAGTTTTCTGTAGGGGTTAGTCCATAAAATATCCAGTGCCTACTAAAGCATAATATCGGATCAAAAATCAACCTAGACACCGAGTCTAATTTGACTTAGTAAGGCATTTTAACCTAAGCACCACGCTTAATTTAAAAGCCTTTAAAAGTAAAATCAGCACACCTTTTGGTTCAAGAATTAAATTATACACCATGTCTAATTTAATTCAGGAAAATAATTTAAATTAAGCACCATGCCTAATTTAGAAGATATAAGATCATACTCCAAACCTTAAGCATACTATAGTAAACAAAGGTATCATGAAAGCATTATAGAGATTTATTCAAATAGAGATGAAAGAGAATGATTGTTATTTAGCAAATTGAGCATGGCTTAATGATAGAGACAACCAAGATAAATTAGCAACATGGCATAATATTTTTCAGAGAAGTTCATCCCCACACTTGAATTTTGCAAGGCAAAATCAAGTTTGGATGGATGTGATTCAATGTTGCATGGTGATTAGTTGGACATACCTTGAGTCATCATCGTTCGTACTTTTTGCTTCTAAACCTAGAATGGTTAGTGACAATAATACCCGAAAGAATATTTTCACAATTATGTTTCTATGCTTATTTCACAAGGGTATCACAACAGAAGGTGAAAACTCATATTATCTTTCAAAAGTGCATGTTTTAAAATAGAAGCTTGTCCTTGGGAAACCCTTTGAATTGTGTTTCTAATTAGTGAAGTGGTTTCCCCTCCAACACCAACCTTTGGGTGCCTATCTCAAGATTCATGCTAACGAGATTTGGAATATTTATGATAAACATATGCATCTACAACCACCCTTTTTAAAGTCTTTATGAATAGAAAGTATGAGGGGTTGAAGATCTTGTGTGTGGCAATGTTGGAAAGACCAATTGATTCAGGAGATTTCTCTTGCAAGCATGGATTTAATGATGTGCTCATGAAATAACTTCCATGCTCGTCTATGTCATCTTCCTTTTCAAGCTCTAAGGGTGTTTCTTCATGAATGTCTATAGGCGAAAATATTATCTCATCATTCCATGCCTATGACATTCATTGGTCATTTTATTGTCCAAGACTTCCCATGGATTGGTAACTCTCGGGTTGATCTTGGCTAAAACCTCCTCCAAACTTGGATGAGTCATGTTTATTAAGGAGATTGATTTAAGCTCACTGTTTGGATCTAAACCAAGTTTGGATTCTACCCATAAGGCTTTGTCATTGTCCATCCATTCTTTAGCAATGGCATATGCGTTCTTAATATCCGCCAGCCATTGTCGTTGCTCTTCTTGGTCATCCTTGTGGTCTTCATGACTCCTATACTTTAGTTGTCT